GACAAAGGGGAGCGTGAAATTGTTAAAAGCAAGATAATTAATTGCTTGCCAGAATTTCACCGATTAATTCCCGCAGTGAGATATCCACGTTCCAACGTGTGTGTCGGAAGACAGTATCGATTGTGGAAAAAATACCGAATGTGAACGTACGCGCGGTTCCGATAATTGTTGTCCAATTTACAATAGGAAAAAATCGTAATAGGCATCGTTTTCTGTTACTCTTTTTCTCTTTATGTTTGGGTTGTATCGATGAAGTTTTGATAAAACTTTTCGTCATGCTAGCGTTGTGAATTATCAAACATGAATTACAGACGATGAAAAATTGTGTTTTACATTCAAAAGGTCTCTTTTATTCTTAACAATGAGCAAATTATCGTGCACGCATATTTTATAGTAAAGGCAATTTTTATAATTATAAAGTATGTTTTATATACGCCACATTTGTACCATATTTTGCCTCCCTTAGAACCATACAATTTTTATATTAAACAATTTTTCGTTAGACGCATAATTTGAAAAGTTATTTCAGCTGTACAAGTTACGTGAATCACCCTGTATAACATAAGTACAATTTTCTTTTACAAGCAATTACCAGCAATATTAAAATGTAATATCACTGGTAACTAGCAATTAACAGTTCTTTAATTTCACCGAAGCTAAGGTAATTTCTTTATCGGAGAATCAAGCGTCCAATCGCGATCGATACACTGAGCTTAATCCCATGGGTTCAATTAAAAGAAGCACTAAACATGGCGAGATATCAAGGTGAGCTCGGAAGACGAATGCGTATATCTTAGGGCATCGAGAATCCTACAAATTGCCCGATCCTCTGTTCCTCGAAGCGAAGCATATCGATTCGTTTATTGCATAATTCCGAGTGTTAGGTGGAGACAAGAGAAAACGGAGTAAGATTATCAGATTTTCACTATTTTCTATATACTTTTAAAAAATCTAACAAAGACACGCTAATAATTGTTCCAGAACTCTTTCAGATTTACTTCAAGTCTAGGAAACATAAATTCAACTAATCTATGTTTTCCATATACTTTTGAAAAATCTAACAAAGACACGCTAATTATTCCAGAACTCTTTCAGATTTACTTCAAGTCTAGGAAAGATAAATTCAATTACTCTATGTTTTCCATATAGTTTTGAAGAATCTAACAGAAACTAATAATTATTCCAGAACTCTTTCAGATTTGTTTCAAGCCTAGTACGATAAATAATTCAATTGATCGTGATTAGATTGTGTAATTTATAGAGTTGAAGGTATCCTCGAAATTTGCCTTATCTAATTAAGAATATTTCGTATTTGCAGTTTCATTAAGATCGCTGTACCACAGAGCAATCTCTCCTTATTGAAATTACAAAATTGTATTAGAAGAGCCAAGCATCGAATTCTCGTTGGCGGAGCTGGAAAGGCAACGTTCGAGTATCTTGGCAAACTAGGCTAGTCATGGGAACCGCGTCGCAACCTCAGCTTCTGTACCCACCGATGTAACTTACCCGGTTACTCGAACGATTTTACTACACTCTGCCAGTGAAAATACAAACTTGCACGCGAAGTAACGCGAGCTGGATGTTACAGTGAAGAAATACCGTGAAGGAGAGATTCAACGACTTAGAAATACACGTTGCCCCGGATTACATATGTACCAGTGAGTTGAAGATCGTTGATCGTGCTACAGTAAATGTAATCGGTATGTCGTCGATCAGTTTTGAAATATTTGCGAAACAGAATTATATCAATTAAAAAAATATCTAAACTATGTTTCAAAAATCTAAAAATATGCTGCAGTAATTAATAATATTATCTATATTAAATCGACTTTCTGAAAAAAAACTTGCATTTACAATTTTACATATTGATAGTGAAGGGAAATGAAAAAAAATACGTAAGAACGAATTCAACTTCTGTTTAAATCTTTCCTCTGTATCTCTCATTGTTTTAACATGAATGAGAAATAGGTTTGTATCATGATTGATCCACTCTTGCACAGAAAGTATGTTTTAACCCAAATATTAGGTTATACATTTTTTTTTTTTGTTTTTTAAAGTTCACATAGTTGAAGTATGAAATTTGGTAAGTTTATTGGGATTTGAAATCTAGTAAGATAAAGAATTATTAATTATTACCATTCTATAAAGTTTCTAATTAAATATCAGTTTAGTACTTTCATCCAGAAATCAATTTTAATTTGAAAATTTAATTTTTTCAATGTTTTGCTAGAAATTACACTGTACGATCAGTCCACTTTCAATTTATAAATAGTTTCAATCCAAGCAATCGGTTACATTAAACAACAATGTACGCGCGATTACAATGTGCGTGCGCTTGCACGAGTAATGAATATTTATTGCGCGCAAACTAAACGGATCTATGTGACACGCGTCCATCGAAATATTAACCACTCGTAAATCAATGAGAATTGTTTTATACGCGTGTCAGCAGGCAAATATTTTACTGGGAAGTTGGCCAGGATGTTTAGGTGATTGTTTCGTGACGTTGATGTGATGATTGAAATCACATCGATATATGATCTAGATATTTCGAAGAGTATTGTTGATTTATGCGTATGTTGTTGATGGATTATGTTGGTAAATTGAAATTTATTAACTGCAGAATAGAGAATTGTTAAACTACATCGCTCTTATTGTGAAATCATATATTGACAGATTTAAAATTTATCTATGTGATATTAATCTGTGTGTAAATGAAAAATTGTCGATAACTTAGGACCTTTTCCTAGGTTTTCGCCTAGGATGATTTTACATCACGTGGAAGAGCGAAGATACTTTTTTATATTTCTCGAAAATCATAAAAATTCGAACATCTCTAAAAATAACAAAAAATCTTTTTCATGATCAAATCCACCATCATCTTGAAGACTGAAATCTCCTCTTTACGAAGACCTCTCAAAAAATTTTATTCAGCTTTAAGATTAAACGACGAAATATGTTAGGATTTCATGAATTTCTGTCGTTCAATCCAAGAATTCAAAATTCAGATCGTATACTACATCGATTCATCATCAATTGATCCTATTAAGTATAATTCTATTTTATGGACATTCTTTTGGTCGCCATCGGATATTTATAATTTTCTTTACACTCGAGACATATCATGTTCACTTAAGTAAATCAGAATTATTCAAGAATTATAATTTTGAGAACAGAAGGGAATAATACAGCTTAACGTGCTGGCTCATTAGCATCGTTCTAGGCAATTAGGCTACTGAAATTTTAATGTATTATACCAGAGTATCGAGAGCTTAATACGATGGAAATTATGATCTCTCAGTATCAGAGTATTACGAATGTTGAGATACTGAAATACTGGCGATGCAAAGAGCATTCTTGACTCGAGAATAAAGCATTTAATTCAAGAGAAAACGTTTACATTTACAATAAATGGATAACAAACCAGAGTACTTTGTAGGAAATAAGTATTCGTACTCTTCCCTATATTAAATATTATCATTGTCATACATAATATGACAATTTCCAAATTATTCCAAAAATATTATTCCTTTGCTATGTTTTCTATTAACCCTCAGACAATTATATTTTTCGCAGCTTGCGCGTGCAATTTGGGCCGTGTACGATCACGACCAATTTTTTTACTATTTTTGACTTTTAAGAAACTTGAGAAAATTCATTGAAATCTCCACTTTAATATACAATCGATCCTTGGATCGAATATTCGAAGGAACAACTAGCTAAAAATAAGAGTTCGCTTCGAAAAGATTTCAAAACGAAATTCGCGAAGGATCAAGTCATGCATCGTGCAACATTAAATAAAATAAATTCTTTACCTGACTACAAGTAACTTCGTATTCGTTTATCCTTCAAAGAACAAATTCACTGTAAAGGTTCTCTGTAAAATCGCAAGCAGAGAAGGACAGATTGATGAAACGTGACGAGTGAAAAGAGGGACGATGGCACAAAGTGTTCCCGTGAACATTGTAATCCTCGTGAGACGATTATCGAGCCGGGAAGCACGATCGTACGACCACGCTCTTTTTCGTCGGACATATGTACATATGTACACACCAACCATAACGCGTCGTCGTTTCAAAGGCAGATAAAACAAACGCACTTAATGCGTGCGTCCGCTGCAAGCGTTCGCCGCTGGTTGAAGCACATTCAAAAAAAAAAAAAAAAAAAAAGGAAAAAAAAAA